TTCATCATCACACAGCCTAATAACGTCAAGAATCACTTCTCTCATTTTCCATTGCAACATAACATAGAACTCAATTGTAAACCTTTCTATACATATATTTCACCATTAACCCAAGGCCTACAGGGATTGTAATAAGCTGCTTGAAGCATATAAATAAAACTCATTCAATATACTGGCTTTAAGCTTCAGGCTCTAAATTAGTTAAATGGTAAAAATAGTAGATCTTTGGCCTGAATTTTTGGTCAACTTACATTTCAAAACCAGTTCTTGATTATTTATTTATAAAATGCAATTTAAAAGGAGCAGTGATGTTCTTTCCTACGTAAATGATGTTACAAATATATCCAGGAATATCTTTCAAACTTTTTTGAAGCAAGTGAGCTATGTTTAGTTATATCTCTGTAAACAGAATGTAGGTAGTTGTGAACTTACTCCAAACATAACTTCAGCCCAAGTTTACACACCAAAGTGGTCATTCAAGAGAGTTTGAACTCAGGTCAAGGTTTAAGTGAGAGTGATCCTATGTACAAGCAGCCATGAACAGAAAGAGGCTAATTATTATTATTTTGAAATGCATTTAAGAATACTTATAAAAACATTTAAGAACTGGTTTTAAAAGATTAAGTGAATTTTTATTCAATTAAAGAGGTTTAGAATTAAGTTCTATGTTAGGTTATTTTCAACGTAAAAAGGTTCTTCCCTATGACAACAATGATGATCATTTTTAGTTATTTAAATTTACAATATCAAGACTTGTGGTTTGATCTTTATGCCCAGTGTCTACAAATAGGTCTCTACAATACTTCTATGCAATGCACCCAGGGACAGTGGAAATCAAGAAACAAATTTTAAAATTCTCTGAATGCTAGTGCAGCAGGTATTTACATGGTTTATTGAATGTAAAACTGTCCCACTGTAGGAAGAAACTCCAAACTGTATTATTATATACCATGCTTTTAAACTTTGAAATTTTACTGAAAGGTGCAAAGTTTGCTTTAAGGATTGCATATCCATTCTGTAACAAGAAATTTTGAATTGGATTCTTATTTGCCATTGCATTATTTTTAATTTAACCTTTAGCTCAATGTTTAAGAAAGGGCTCTTTTAATATTTGTAGTTTCAGATTTGAAAAATCAACTGAAATTGAGAAGAAAGCTTTAATTTTTTACCAAATGTGAAACTATTTGGTAAAAACAAACTTTGCACTCTTGTTATTTATTCTTTCAAATATCCTATTCATTCTGACACTGCTTATATTAATATTAATTTAGATTTTAAACATTTCAACAATAATCCAACAGTCACTTAAACTAAAGGTGAAAGATGAAACTAGTGAAAACGCGATTTCAATCGACTATGACAGAAAACAGACTAGGCTAATGTTTAATTATGGTTTGCGAACAGGACATCACTCACTGTCATTATTGACTCAAGTGATACTTTTAAAAGATGGATGCAAACTAAGAATAAACGTAGAGAAATGTAGGACAACTTGACGACTGTTGTATTAATTTCACAATTTTTCCTGATTGAGTCTCACATATTTAACGTGTAATTTGTAAAGTATAACATAAGTGGCAATCATAATTTCAGGTCATGTGACCTGGATATCTATTTTAGTTTTCATTTAACACGCTTGTAACTACGATTTTCATATCTTTTTTTTATTTTTTGCCTTAATGTCTTAAGTAAAACTAAAAATTTACGAGTTGTAACTACTTTTTTTAATTATCATTTTTTCGTTGTCTTTAAAATTAAAGTTTCATAAAGTGGTACGAACGAAACTTCTACTTTTTCGTTTTTCACTTTTTGTAAGGTTATCCATTGACTATAACTATAAGAAACATCTGGCATGACATCTAAACTAAATTAAATCTAAGAAATGTACTGTAACGCCTTACCCCTCCAATTTAATCACGTAGTAGCTACTATTATAATTTGAAGAAATAACCACTTTCTACTCAATTTATTTCCAACTCTTTAATACGCCCTCTCAATGTACCGGCAAATTACTTAAGCGTTTATTACACATTATAAATAAGAAATCCTATAACCAGAGTGCTTTCAGAAGGAAGCATTTCTTAAGTAGTTGTTTGAAAATTATTTTTTAATCCTAAATAATTTCTTATTATAATGAATAATTATTTATAAAAATTTCAGTATTTAATATAAACTTAATTAGAGGGTTCTTATTTTAATGTTAATTACTACAATGAAAAGTACAATAAATTGCAATCAATTAATTTTCTCTGCAACAATTATTCTAAAATTTCTCACTAAATTTCATTTAAAGAAAATTAGTCCCCTAGTGGGTCAGCGATAATTTTACAGACTTCTAATGTTATGCCCCTCAGTGGCTCAACGGTAAATCTAAAAGCTTACACCGCTAAAATCCTGGTTTGATACCCGTGGGAGCACAGCACAGATAGATAATTGTGTAGCTTCGTGCTTACTAAAATAAACAATACAACGCTAAAATCCGGGATATGATTCTCCTTAGTGGAAAGAGTGCAAATAGCTCATTACATAGCTTTGCAGTAAGAAAACAATACCAACACGACACTCACAGAAATCAAATTTTTTAGATGTTATTATTGGTGTTGGTAAAAACAAATGGGCTATAGATTCCTAAGATTCAGGCATTCATTCTATCTAGAACTATTGACCGATACCTGCTGCACTTGCAGTTTACTTATGTCGGATTATTACTTTCACTAAACTGACTGCTGATGATCAAGGTATACTAGACTAGTGTTTCTGAAACGGTGGGTTATGTCTCCAAAGGTAGTCGCGAGCAGGTTTCCAGGGAGAGTTATGTGCTGTCTGCGCTGAGTCAACATTTGTTTAGTCCTCGAGGTGTCTGAGAGGTGCACAATACACCTTTATTATGAATTACGACGAAATGCGCCAAGATCCACCAAGAATATTTTCATCCTTGTAGAGGTAATGGGGGAGGGGGTCGCAACGACCAAAGCCATAATGCAGAGATCGTCTGGCAAATCCAGCTGAGAAATATTGTACTACTACTACTACTAGACTGTCTTCAGTGATGTTTCAAACCCAACTGTTAAACCTAAGATCATTAGCTTCCAAGAAACCTCACATTTACCTAGAGAGACATGTAGTACAATGTGTTTTAATGTATGTTTATTTGAGGGAATTGTTTTGTTTATTTGTTAAAAAATAATGCTAATGCAGTCCGTACAACGATAACAACTTAATTTCTTTCTTGTTTGTTTTTTTTTATTTTGAGACAAAGCTGGACAATAGGCTATCTGTGCTCTGTCTTCATGGGAAATCGAACCAAGAAGTTTAGTTTTGTAAGTCCTTAAACTTACCACTGACTCACTGGGGAACAAATTATTTCTTCTATAATATTTACAACATGCTACATATAATTTATCACAAGTTGTTTACCTAAGTTTACGAACAATGCATCAACAGAAATTTTAAACCTAATGACGTGCCTAAATCACAGATTCAAATCTTACTTACAAAACGTGCTTGCTAATCTAGGACGTAACTGAATAGATGCAATAACTTTCATGTCCAACACTGATCTGAATAACTTAATGAATTCTTCATTGCCTAATAGCTTTTCACTAACTTCTCACTCTGTTTGTATAGTGCTTATTTTCCACTCACTATACTAATTTTCTAGATCATAACGTAATGCATCCTCTAACAGTCATTTAAATTTAAATATTGACGATATTGCTTACAATACATGTGACTGGCTATTTTCATTACAACATATGTGGAGCTGTAACCTTTAAATATTATTCGAGTGTCATGATATAAAATACTATCTAATGTATGTATTATTAATTTATTTATTTTGTGAGTGAATATTTCATGATTGTTTTTTCATAACAAGAGAATGAAAATCGATTATTTTAAAGTAAACATTATGACAAGTTTAGTTAAGTAACTCGTTAAGAATCATAAGTTGTATTTATAATTCGTTGATGTTGAGGCTATCGAACGTCGCGTGAAATTTATTGATGTCGAGGATATAAAGATTTCTTGTAGGCGAGCAGACGATTAAGTGATAAATATATAAATAATGTGAAATGAGCGGAAACAGTAGACAGACAGAGCAGACGAGAAAGTAAAGTTACTGGAAGTAGAAGTTCGACCAAAGAAAAGTTAAAAGTAAAGTAAAGGAGTAAAAGGCCCAACGATTAATATTGTTGCGTCAGCGAGTCACATGACTACAGTGACGCCACGTTTCTAGAACTATCCCGTATTTTGGCGAATGCTCTAGTATTTGCTAGATATAGGGTAGTTTGGTATATATAAGAGGGGACAACGTGACGCGAGATTATTGTAATGTGTGTGTAGATAGTGAGTAATTGATCTGCGGTCAGAAGTATTATTGACGTTCGTTGTTATAGCGTTTGTTTAGCGCGATTGTTGAAGTTGAGTGTATCGGTAAAGTTGTATTCGGAAAGAATAAACCAGTTTTTATTAAGTAAAGAACTTGTGTCGCAAGTTTCGTCGGAACGAAGTTACGGAAAGTTAATTAACAAACAGAGACGTAACAAATTGGTGTCAGAAGTGGGATAAAAAAAATGGACACGAGAAGCGGCAAATCAAACTACAGCATAGCAGACGTAATGGCAGCAGTACAAGAGCACCAAAAGAAACAAGAAGAACGAGAAAAGAAACAAGAATAAAACAAAAAGAG